TATATATATATATATATATATATATATATATATATATATATATATATATATCCGACAAGGTGCACCAAACTCAAGATAATATATATATATACACACACACACTCACTCTCACACACACACAAAAGATCTTCCCTGAGATTAAAAGTCTGCAGAAAATCTGTGATTGCAAACTCTTCAAGTATAAAGGGCATTAACATTTGTTATGCCCAGAATTGCTGGGTGTCAGCAATAAAGTTGTTGTTGTTGTTATTGTTATTATTATCTCCTCTTCACTACAATGTGAAGTCACAGTTCTTTAGCTAATGTTAACCTTCATAGGCAGTGAGTTCTTCCCCAAAACCTAGGATGTTGTAATGTATTGGCGTAGTATATGTGCGGATCCAAGCAGTTTATCCTTTTGCAATTGAATCATGGAAATTTTGTCCATGCACAGATTTTCTAAGGGCTGTTCAGGTTTTTGGGTGTGACAGCCAGTATGTTTATAGCCACTGGGACCATCACTATCAGCTTATGCCGTAAACTTTCAATTTTTATTTTCACACCGTAATACTTTGTGACCTTCTCTAAATCTTTGTCTTCTATTCTGCTATCTCTTGGTATGGCCACATCAATTACCCACACTTTCCTCTTTTCAGCCACAGTGAAATCTGGTGTATTGTAAGCCAAGACGATCTGTATTCAGAAATCCTGCAATATTTTAATTTGCTCAATTTTGACTACCTTTTCAACTTCTCCCCTAATTGCTGGAACATGACAAATTCTAGAGATGTTCCAGTGAATCATTTTGGCAACTGTGCTGTGTGTCATTATTTATAATAAATTCATGCAATCTTCTTGAACGAGCTGAGTATATGATCTATTGCAGCCATATACAGGTAGTCCTTGACTTATGACCACAGCTGAGCACAAAATTTCTGTTGCTAAGCAAGTGAGTTTGGCCCCATTTTATGATCCTTTTTGCCACAGTTGATAAGCAAATCATTGCAGTTGTTAAGTGAATCGTACGGTTGTTAAGTGATTCCAGCTTCCCCTATTGACTTTGCTTGTCGGAAGCAGACTGAGAAGATCGCAGATGGTGATCGCGTGACCCCAGGACAGTGCAGGTATCATAAATACATGCCAGTTGCCAAGCACCTGAATTTTGATCATGTGACCATGGGGATGCTACAATGGTCGTAAGTGTGAAAACCGATCATAAGTAACTTTTTTCAGTGCCGTTGTAAGTTCAAACAATCACTGAATGAATGGTTGTAAGTCAAGGACTGCCTGTAAATCAATTTGATAAATAGTTAACAAAAATCCTAAATGCCAAAATCAAGTTCTGTAGCAATACATGCATTGAGATAGTCTTTTCCAAGCTGGTGTCCTGAATTATGGCTGGACTCCAGTTTCCATACAGTCAAGATGGCCAATAGCCATTATAGCTTGGAATTATGTGAATTGTAGGCCACAAATCTGCTAACAAAGCAAACAAGCCTTATGGTTGTTGTTTCTAACAAAAGATCTGCAACTAAAGGGTGCCTTTGATTTAAAAAGATCCACTTTATTGGTAGTTTTACATGTGCTCTGCTATTTATAGATACAACAACAGATGGTTAAGACTTTGGATGAAATGTCTGCCAAATTGCCCTTTTTGCAATACAAGAAAAATTACTTCAGAAGCCTGCCAGCAACAGGTCTCAGCCAGCCAGAATTGTTGAAGAAGATAAAAGAGTACAGCACTTTAGGTATGATTTTGAGGATCTACTGGAATGGGAAAAAATCTGTTCCTTAACCAGTTCTGTGATTATAGATCTGGATATGAGAAAGATATGGTATTATCTGATAACCGATACAGAGGCCTTTAAGTGGATGTCAAAAAATTTACAATCTGATCTGCTTCCATTGTGCCATTGACTACCACCTCTGATCCTCCCAAATTATAATAAATATCCTTGGTTGGATAACTCTTTAATTGTGTCTGATATCTTCTGAAAGTGATCTATCATTGTTTTAAGTGCTTCAGAATGTAAAAATGGATTACCTTTCCTTGCCTTTCCCCTATGTTAGTTGTAAAAAGTAACCCTGTTAATTGCATGCTGAAGGTGTAGCTCAGGGGTCTTCAAACTTGGCCCTTTTATGACTTATGGACTTCAGGCACGCTGGCTGAGGAATTCTGGGAGCTGAAGTCCGAAGTCATAAAAGGGCCAAGTTTTGAAGACCCCTGGTGTAGCTGTTAGGTGTGCCCTGCAGAAATTTGCTCCCTAATTCCAGCTTCCAGCTCTAAACATGGCTGGGCATTCTACTCTTAACTGTAGTTAGAAGACTTAGTTAATTAACTAACTAATCTAGTTAATTAGAATTAGAACACAGAAAACCAGACTCTTGTTTCAACCAGTAATTGGCAAAGCTTTCAGAAATGTGTATGTGTTAAATTGGTTCACCTAGGATTAAGCTGCTGCTTTTGCAAATATAGGAAGCATCAGCATGACAAATTGACTGGTCATTACCAACTAAGATAATGCGGAACCAGAAGCAAAATATGGCTTTAATTTCCAAAAGAGCTTTCATGTGATGAGTCAGCATTTTTTCCCTGTATTCTTAGGTAACGTACATTGGGAAGACCGCAAAGTATCTGGGACCGTGTACAGTGGGGATGAGAAACTCGTTAATCTGCTTGTTAAGGTAATATAGCATGAAACTCTTGGAGAATTGCCTTATGTAATGTGTGTGTATAATTAAAAGCTGTATCAGTGCATTCCAGATGATTATTCATAGCAATTATATTCCATTGCAATCTAATAACTCTTGATGGCTTATAGGATACCAAATGTAGAAAAATAGTCAAACTTCCATGGTATGGCTAAAAATGCTGATAAAATAACAGTCATAAAACTCCAAGCCAAAATAAGGTACAAAACAATTGAAATGAAATACTAGAAAAGTAAATGAAAATAGAAACCATACTATATAGGGTTCAGTGGTCTCTAGTGTTATTTCCTTTCTAAGATTTATTCAAAGACTTAGTTTATTTTTACTAGAGCCAACAATAGATATAAATAAAATAGCAGTGCTGAATATTTAACTACTTTATATCTTTAGTGACATATGAATATAAACTGCATTTTCTTATCTGAAGTAGGTATGGGATACCAAAAAACCAGTCCCTCGTCATGAAAAGTAGTATAAGAACTAGAAATGGACCTTCATATAGTTTTGTGCCATTTACATTTTTTTAATAAAGATTTTATTTTTATTTTTTTGATAAACATATGTTAATTTTTCCAATCAACGAGTTGTCTGGAATTAGCTATGCTAATACATGTTCAATTCCTAATCCTTCATTCTTTCCTCTAGCCAACAATAAAATAAGTCCCAAGTTTGATAATAATCTGTATCTTCTTGATCTTTCAACCTCATAGTTAATCTGTCCATCTCTGCACATTCCAATATTTTCCTGATTATTTCTTCTTCTGATGGCAATCCTTCATTCTTCCAGTATTGTGCAAAAATTATTCTCGCTGCTGTGGTGATGTGTAAGATTAAATATAATTTCTGCTTTTTAATCTTTTCAGGCATAATACCTAGCAAAAAAAGTTCAGGTTTAAAATCAACTTGTTCACCCAATATTTTTTCTAACCACATATGTATCTTTCTCCAATAGGCCTTAGCCTTGCCACATGTCTACCAAATGTGATAGTACGTGCCTATGTTATGTTTACATTTCCAACATCTATCTGATATATTTTTAAACATTTTTGCTAATCTTGCTGGTGGCAGGTGCCATCTATAAAACATTTTATACAGATTTTCTTTATATGAAGTTGACATTGTTAGTTTGTAGTTTCTCTCCCATAACATTTGCCATTTTTCTAATTCTATATTATAGCCAAAGTTTTTTGCCCATCTTATCATTGTTTCTTTCACTTGTTCACTTTCCATATCCAAAATTAACAAAAAGTTATACATTTTCTTAATTAATTTCTCATCTGAGGTTAACAAAATCTTATCAAACACAGTTTGATCCTTGCCGTTTACATTTTTTAAGTTAATGTTTCATATCTTCAGATTGCTTAAAATAACGATCCTTGCATAAAATCTAGGATTAGGGATGATGAACTGCAGACCTCCAGATGCTGTTGGACTCCATCAACCCCATCAGATGAGTGTTGCTGTCTAACAATCACTGAAATGCTGCAGTTTTTCCTCACCCTAAAGTGCTTAAGTAACAGTGTATTGTTTCAGCTTTGTAATAGCAAGTAGCCTGCAGAAGAATCTGATGCAAAGATCCAGATAACATAAACGACCATTTTATTAAGATTTAGTTTCAGATGCTTATAATTTATGTCAACAAAATTTTGATGGGTTTTAAAATTTTAAAGAGGAAGACATTGGGAACTGGTTCTTTAAGTGGTGAAGGGTCAAAGAAGGAGAGCCCAGTTTTTCTGCTGGTTGATTCAAGGTCCTCTTAAAAAGAAGAAATAGGGGAGACATGAAAGCAGTATTACAGTATTTGAGGGCCTGCCACAAAGACAAGGGGGTCATGTTATTCTTCAAAGCACCAGAGGGCAAGACAAGAAACAATGGTTGGAAACTGAGCAAAGAGAGAAGCAACCTAGAATTAAGGAGAAACTTCCTGACAGTGAGGACAATTAACCAGTGGAACACCTTGCCCCCAGAAATCGTGGGCGCTCCATCACCGTAGATTTTTAAGAAGAAGCTAGACAGTCACTTGTCTGAGATGGTATAGGTTCTCCTGCTTGAGCAGGGGGCTGGACTAGAAGACCTCCAAAGTCCCTTCCAGCTCTGCTCTAGTCTACTCTAGTCTACTCTATTCTTCTTACTTCTTCCCCAGGAGTGCTTGGGACATATTAACAAGGGCAGCATCCCCATGATCATGTTATCAAAATTCAGACGTTTGACAACTGACTCATTTATGACAGTTGCAGTGTCCTGAAGTCATGTGATCACTTTTCGCGAAGTTCTGACAAGCAAAATCAATGGGGAAGCCAAGATTCACTTAACAACCAAGTTACTAACTTAACAACTGAAAAGTTTCACTTAACTGTGGAAATAAAGGTCGCAAAATGGGACAAAACTCATTAAACAACTGTCTTGCTTAGCAACAGAAATTTTGGACTCAGTTGTGATTGCAGGCCGAGGACTACCTGTAATTCTTTGTGAACTAAAAATGAAAAGAGGTTGCTGTATTCTGTATATAAGTGGACAATAACAGCTTTATGAAGAAAAAGGAGTTACAGAAGGAAGGAATGGAGGTGGCAGCATAGTTTCAAGGGACTATTTTTCTTCCTTCAAGGTTTATGAGGAATTTGCATGGAGTAATCCACTTCATCCAGATATATTCCCAGGAGTGAGGAAGATGGAAGCAGAGGTTGTGAGAATGGCTTGCACACTTTTTCATGGTGGACCTAATTCCTGTGGAACAGTAAGTAAGAGGACAAATGTCACCATAGTAACCTTGTCCACTTATCTTTAAGGCAGCTACAGCTTTTATATACATTTACATGTTAAACAATCCGTAGACATTTGCATATTTTCCAGGATTTGCTTTCAGAATATCCTCAAAAAAGTCTGGCTTTTGTATTCTGAGTTGGTTTAGCTGTGTGAATTAATTCATCATATAATGCACCGTGCTAGGCATAATAGAAACCTGCTCTTGGAAACATTCTCTAACAAACTGGTTGTGCACCATATTTCCGTCAAACTGTATTGCTGCAACTAAAGAATTGGCAAAAAGAATGCCAAAACATAAAGTTAACTTGATTGCTGTGAATATGCGGGAATGTTATTTGTTGTCTCTTCCAAGCTGCAAACTGCTGACCTAGTTAGTGTCCTTTTTCTAGAGAGAATTGACTTCTGGCAGCTGAAGTTTCTTTGCCAGTGTTTTCAGAAGTGGTTTGTCCTTGCCTCCTTCCTAGGGCTTTGAGAAAGTATCGGGCCCAAGGTCAATCAACTGGTTTTGGACTAAGGCAGGACTAGAACTCATAGTTTCCTGGTTTCTAGACAGATGCCTTAACCACTACACCAAATTATATACTTTAAAGCTAATGTTCAAAATGATTATGATATTTTTCCATTGAAATTCCCATTGATGCATTGTATTCTGCATCCATTTAATCATACAGACATTTTGACTTGTTCAGATTGTTCATTTGAAGTTTATAAATCTTGCCTAACAAATTATCTTTATTGCATGTTACAAGGCTTTCAAATTTGGTCAAACTGCTCAGTACAGTATTCCTTTGTTTTTGTGATCTTTTATTGCTGCAATGTTTATCTCAAGATTCTGAAACCAATTAAATCTAAAAGAGCACTATGTAGTAAGAGACTGAAGAGATGTTATCTTTGTCTTGTTATTCATAACATCTTGCAGTCTAACGACATTATCATTCACTGATCAATTTTTTTGTGCTTTCATCTTCATAAATGAGCCCAGACTGAGTGAGCAGGCAAAGATTAAGAAGATTCAGTCCCAGCAGAACTCTCATTCATATTCCCATCCTACAGATAATCTATATATACTTTCAGTGTAAAATATCTTGGAGTAAGCAAAATAGTGAGTAAAAAATAAAAGCTTGTCAGTGGCAAAAGTGACATGCATTTTAAATGAAAAGTTCAGGTCAAAATCTTACTTTACTCTGCCGTCGTAGTGTATCTAAGCTGTAGTCATCAATGTGCCAAAATTATAATAATATTATATAGTTTATTGAACTTGCCTGACTCAATGACTGGACAGCTCATAACTATCAAACAAGCAATTGCAATAAAATCAATAAATCATAGGATAAAGATAAACATGTAAGATTTAAGAGACTTACATGTTTATGTTGCAATTATCTGATTTCAAATAATATTGGCTTTCATAAGAGAAGATCCCACTCAGTTGTGTATCTGAGAGCAGAGCTAACTCATTGCAGAGATGAAAGTGTAGGACATGGCTCTCCGCTCTAGTTAAATCTGCTTTCTAGTTTATCATTTCTTCCTGTTCTCAGGAAATATACTTGTTCTTGATTTCCAGAAGGCTATTGATATTAATCTTTTACAGTGTCAGTAGCATGATTCCTTATAGCCATATAGCCTAAATATTGTTGCCCAAATTTTTGCTGGTCAAACTCAACTCCATTTGTCTTGGTCCTTGTAGCTATTCCCACGTGAACACTCATCTTTTGCTTTTCACTGACTCCTCTTGCCATATGGTTGCAGTTTGAACATGTGTTCACCCTGGTTTTCTGTATTCATCTCTTCCTAAATTGTTTTCCACCAAAGTGGAAAGCCAGTCCATCAACTTCGGTTGTTTTCTCTCATTATTCAATTTTCCATATTCCCATCTTCCCAGCTGGGTAATAACTCAAAAAGGAAGAATTCAAAATAATCTGATCAAGAATAATGCTGAGGAAAGAAATGAAAGAGACGCAGTGTTTTTCCCCCTGCCAATGGCTCTTGGACTTGACTTTTCCCTATTTGCAATTCTACATTTATAGAAGAACTTGTCTTGGGTAATGGCTTAAGTAGATACATGGAATTATGGTCTGAAACCATTGCTTACTCTTTGTGATAAATTTCCTCTAACAAGGGTCCTGCTCCAACAAAAATAAGGTCCACCATCTCAAGTCATCACTAGTGTCCACCGGAGTTTATGGGAATGATAATACCAATCATCTGAGGAGGCCCTCTGGAAAAGGCTGGTATAAAGATTACCAAGTTGTTTTCTTAAACCCAACAAAGCAACGTAACAGCATTTCATTGTACATGAAATGCTAACTATGCTGTAGGAGGGAAATGCCTTGTATTTTTTCTCCTTTCAAAGAAAGCCCACCTTTGTCTTTCAACAAGTACGCAATACTGTAGTGATCCAACATTTCACTCCATTGTTAGGAGAAGAATGTCAGCATTGGATTAATGGGATGTTGACTTTAGCAACATATTGTTTTGTGTTGGTATTTTCACAATGGTTGGGATTCTTCTGCTAACAATAAGTTAGGTAACATCAAATCATAATTGTACAAGATGATAACTTCTTAAGATTGGGAATGACGTGTTATTGTCTTGTTTCAACCATGCCGAAAAAATGAGACAGAAAAAGAGGGAAACAAAATAATGTGATTTTCATCTGAGTTTGATGGGGAATAAAGCTTTCTAAAACTATTTATATATGGAAATGGATCGATATAATTTTGCTCTTTCATGCTTATTGAATAATATTTGTGATGTTCAGCTCATAAGGCTGAAATTGAAAATCCATAACAATTTTGTAATATGTGTGACCATTCTTGGTTTTTTTATATACTATATATAGTATAGTATAGCTGCTCCCCATAAACTATAGGTGAATTTTTGGTCATTATATATAATTCAGTTCAAATCTTTATGTCAATAATTAACCAGCATAAAATACAAGCAAGAAAAATAATACTCTTTTCAATAATACCCCTGAAACTTACAAGAGATAAATGATAGCTAAAAACTAGAATTGCTAACACAACATTTTAAAAGGTTAAAATGTTAAAATATATCTTTTTCAGATATACTGTAAGTCTTTCTCAGAGCCAGACATGATATTCTGAGGTTTTTTCTTAATGGGAGATTTACCAATGTTCTCAATTGTTCTGTGTGAGAGCTTTTAGATTTATTTTTAATATATATACTAAGAATATAAGAAACTGAAGCCAGGACTTCCAGTTTGTCGCCACGGCCGCTGGAAGGCGAGCTCCGTCTTCCACATCCGATTTCGCACTGCTGTGGGACCCTGGAAAGGGTCGAAAGTCGCCCTGTAGGGCGACAAGCAAGGAGGGGATCCCCGCTTGATCGTGGGAGGGCAGTAGCCCTTCCACTCGATCCAGGGTAGCCCTCCAAATCGGCGGACGAAACACCGGCCATAGAAATATGACCCATCACTAGGCTGCAGACAGCCGAAGTCAAACTTACCACCAGACACCTATAAAGCAGCGTGGATGAGACTGGGTGAGATCTGAACCTCTCTTCAATTCTAATTATTTTTTTCCATCTGTATAAGTTGCCCAAAGTATTTTCCCCCCTTTGGAGAGAGTGAAGGGAAATTCTGTCCCACCCTCTAAAAACAGCGGCGACTGACTATCCAGGGGAGTTTAAAACGCTGAAAGAATAACTTGATTCTAACTGGATTTTTATCTTTCTAAAATCTGAGGACTAAAAGATTACTTATTCTTATTGAAGATAAAGAAGTAAAACTGAAAAAGGATTATAAAAATTTTGGACTTTAAAAAAACCAAAAGATTTAAACAGTGTGGGTGACATCTTGAGACTAAACCTGATAGTACAACTTGTTATTGTCTAAAAGAGACTTGGCTTGAAGCCCAGACTATAGATAAGACTTTTGCAACCTTGGCAGATATCAGCTGTGAGAAGCCCAGTGTGTTCTATACTCAGTGACAAAATTATTTTCATTCTCTGAGTGTAAAGCTTTTAATTTAACACACCGCTAAGAGAACATGGGTAAAGATCAGGAACAGATTCTTTTTATGTTGAAAGCAATTTATGAAACTATTCTTACACCTACTGATGAAATAAGAAGCTACAGAAAAGAACAAGATGTCAGCCTAGATATACGAACCCAAACTTTGATTATAACTAAAGAATCAACTACATAGAATATAATAGAAGAAGTGGAACAATAAAATACTATGATAGAAGATTCAACTGATCAACAAACACAGTTAACGGAAAACCCAGAAAAGGAACTGACAACACTGAAAATGGAAAAGACTTTCTATATAAACCAGAAGTAACCTGACGATCAAGAAGAAGAACAGACTGAAGGGAAAATAAACATTTCAGGACAAGTACGTCGAGATGGAAAAATAGAGAGACGATTTGTTAGCCCTTCCCAAAAAATTGCGACTGGATGGCCTCTTTTATCTCAAACAATATATATAATAACAGAGGGAGATCTATTTGATGACTTAAAAGCACAGATATGGAAGGCGAGTTGGCAAAGAAAGCAAGCTAGAATAAGGCTGAAGAAAATTGGGGTTTTGACTTATTAGTGAGGATTAAAATAGAACATACTCAGATAGACAAGGTGTGTACTTTGAATACAAGATTTTGTTATGAAATGAGATAAAACTTTGGTCATTTAAAACTTGGAAGTATAAATATCAAAAGTTAAGTTTGAATATTGATTTGTTCATAAAGGTTGAATGTAAAAGTAATTAAGATATATATAAGGTAAAAATCTATTGATAAATGTAATAAACATGTTTTTACTTAGCTGATATAATAAGAACTGTGCTAGCTTAAATATGAGATAATAGACATTAAAAGAAAAAGAGAGGAAGTATTTGATGTTGAAACAAGAGAAATTTTGGTTACTAAATTTAATACATTTGGAAATTAATAGAAAATAAGAATGTTATGCTGTATTATTAATTAGATGATGTAAGGTGGTGAAAAATAGAATATATTCAAATAGATAAGACGTGTATCCTGAATATTAGACTTTGTGATGAACTGTGATAAAGGAAACTTTGCTCACTTAAAACTTGAAATTATAAATATTAAATGTTAAATTTAAATATTAATGGGAAATTAAAATTGGGAAAAACTAATTAGGACATTGATTGTCTATAAAGACTGAATGTTAAAATAACCAGGATATGTATAAGCTAAAAATTATTGATAAATGTAAGAATGTTATTTTTATTTAATTGATGTAATAAGAATTGCATTAGTTTAAACATGAGATAGTAAATACTAAGGGGAAAAGAGAGAAAATATTTAATGTGGTGGTTTGAGACTTGTACTAAAGATACTTGTATGTCATTGAATTATTGATTAACTCAGCCGCCACGTTGCTTTTTAAATACTTAAATGTAAAATTAGAAAATCAATAGAACATTAAAAAAAGAAAAGAAACTGAAGCCACAAATGGATGTAAAAACAGGAGATGCCTGTCCATAGTCGTGTTACTCAACTACTCCCAAAGAGCTGCCACCTGAAGCTACACACGGAGCAAAACCTCTTCTTGTAGGTAAACTTTTCAATAAGGTGTCTTAGGATCAAAACATAGTCCTAGTGATGGGGACAAAAACTGGCCTGTTTATTGTCCAAAATTGATCTTGTCTCTATCTTCTATTTTGTTGTTCAAGGGGTGGGCATAAAGTTTGCTAAACAATACTCAGCAAACTTATTGATCAGTAGTTATCAAGATTACCCCTATCATTTCTTTTGAATATAGGCATTATAAAAGCAAACAACAACATGCAACTCATATGGGGCTCCCTTTATGTTTGGTCTGGAAACTGCAAGAAAATGGTCAGGTTGCACAGTATGGTGTGTAGCCATGAATGTGTTGCATTTTGTTGGAGTAGTTGCCACTTACCTACCTAGCGAGTTTCAAGTTTTTGGTTTTGTCATACCAGGCACTCAAACTTAACTTCTCCCAAGCTTTTCCTCCCACCTAACCACTTCTCCTAATTGCAGACCTACTGCAGGCATCAGGATTTTTCCTCTCCAAGGATCAAAAGTTAGCCCTTCCCGAATCCAGAACTGTTTCAAAACCTAATATTTCATCTTGAATTTCCTCCTGATTCCTAACTCAGCATTCAGACTGAACTTCTCCTGACCCCCAAGCCATGTGTCTGCCACCAGCATCAGGACCAAAAATTGGTCCTTCCCCAAAGAGAATCGGGAACCATTATATAAATATAAAAAAAACCAATATAAAATTCCTGAACATCCTGCCCTCTATTTGTTTTGCATGCAGAATGAGCTCTGATTTCCCCCTCGTGTTCTAAATACATAAATAAGTGCTGAAGAATATTTAACATCAAGTGGTTTGGCAGCCAAGAGAGTTACAATGAGAATGTTTCATGATTTCCGGATTGATAGTAGTTGTATTAGTAGCAGAATGACTAATATGATATCACAAGTGCCTCAAGAATTGGAAATTGGTACCGCCAGTGAAAAGAAAGTAAGGTTCATGGACTTTGTGTATGATGCTGAATGTAGCCCAACCAGAGAAAGAGGGAGAAAATAGACAAAAAGGGACTTTTTATTCCTCTTTTTAAGGATATAGAGTACCATTTTCTCCATTCAGTTTTAAGACATACCTGCTATAGATCACCTCTCTCTTTAGGGTTCTCACTGATTTTTGATATGTTGTGTTAAAGCAACTTTCCCTGTCTGTCTTTTTTTGCTTATACATTGAATTTTCCTTTTAATCTGGGTGTTAGTTGAAAGAATCAGACATCTGTGTTTGAAAAAAACTGTCAGCTACTCATGAGTCAACCAGCATTGGCTGGATGCCCAGCGTCCTGCAATAAACAGCAGAAATGTCTTGTGAGAGTGATTCATGTTCTCCCAAGTAGGTGATAAGTCATTTGCAAAACAAAAGGTTTTTTTTAGCAAGCATTAGAAAGGGTCTTGACTCCTGGAGAAAGAAGATTCAATTTATTTCAAAACTTGGGATAATTTTTATCGATGGTTAGAAATACGCTAGAATACAATCAGAACTTAAAATTGAATTGAATTCTAAAACTGAATAGAATAAATTATAGACTCTTAATTAAGTGTTATTTCTTAGATTATTAATAATAGCTTTATTATCAGTGATTTTAAATATTAATGGTGATGACTAGAATTTGTTGATATGTTATTAAGTATGAATAATTATTTAGAGGAATTTTACTTACCTATCTAATTTTAGTTATATGATTATAGTTAACTTTATCTTTATAATTGTTTAATATTATACAAATTATCTTTATTTAATATTTAGATCTGGACGGTAGCTTGTTTGTTAAACCTTGGGATTATTATGGGGGTTATCCCATTATTGTACCTACCCTTTTCCTACCCCAAATTCCTATTCCCATTCCCCTTATACCCGTATTGACCCTATCTTTCCTTACCTATATAAAACCCAATAAAATATTTATATATATAAAAAAAGAAAGGGTCTTGACTCCTGTTTTATATCAAGCCTCAATTTCCTTGGCCTAATAATGTGCCTACCTTGTTGCCTAGCAACCAAGGTGGTTTAAAGAAAAAAATCAGATGCTTAATAAAATAACTGTAATGGACTTTTCCTTCCTGGTTAAGTAGTGACTTAAGATGAATATTTTGAGCTTTAAAATACCAAATTCTGCCTTCTGCCCAGATATATGGTTTATATCTAAACCAGGTACTGTGATATTGTCTTGATTACTGTATCTATCTATCTATCTATCTATCTATCTATCTATCTATCTATCTATCTATCTATCTATCTATCTATCTATCTATCTATCTATCTATCCATCCATCCATCCATCCATCCATCCATCCATCCATCCATCCATCCATCCATCCATCCATCCATCCATTTCTTCAGGAGTTCAGGGCTGTACAGTTAGCACTTTCTGTTCTTATTTTCCCCTAAACCAACAGCCTTGTGAGGCAGAATGGCTGAGGGTGTCCTTAAAACTGAAAATGTTGTCAGTTCAATTCCTTAACTATTACAGTTCACTGGCTCTCAATATTTGTCTATTGAATCAGTCTAGCAACAAGAAGAAAACCATGCTTAACATGCAGTATTTAAATGCAGCTTCGGTTTGAATTAGAAGAGATCTTAGAATACAAGATGACTTTTGTTGAGATTTATTAAGATTGCTGTAGCATGTAAAGATCCAAGATTTCCATAGATATACTCTACACTGGTGCTTACTGCTCAGTTTGGCAACTTTAAGATGGGTGGACTTCCAATTCTCAGAATTTCCTAGCCAGCATGCTGGGAGTTGAAGTCCATACCTCTTAAAGTCCCCAACTGGGAAAAACGCAGGTGAGAAAGTTTGTTGTGTTTTTTTTTAAAAAAATAGAAATTAACAAAGTGTGTGTTCTATTATCTCGTTCTCATGTGACCATTTGGTTATATGAGGTGTTTTTATTTCCTTTGTTATAGATGACATCTGGTGGAACAGAGAGCATCCTGCTGGCCTGTAAAGCCTACAGAGATTTGGCTTATGAAAAAGGAATAAAATATCCAGAAATGTATGTAACTCTTGTCTCTCTCTGGCTGTCATAGTGGACTTACTATGATAGGAACTAGTTTTATTCTTAAATAGCATACTCCTTTGCTCTTTTTTCTGGCTTGACCTCAAGAAGACAGAAACAGAAACAAATTATTATAACCAAGACTTTAAAACAAGCCAATTGGAAGGCATAGATTATGAAGACTGACTTGTCTCAAACCACCGTTAAGTTTAGTGACAATTTAAGGTTGGAAAGTACCCGGAGCTATAGAGAAGTGAAAGCATTTCTGTCTCCTTGTAATGCCATGCAAAAAAAGCGAAGTGAGGAATGCATGAATTTAAGCAGATACTAAATTCTTTTCCATTTTTTCTGTCACCGTAAATCTGGCTCTTAAATTTGCATTAGTTTACTTTCGTAGAAATAAATAATTTCAGATGGGCAAAGTCTTTTTGAGGCAGTTACTATAAATCTACAGAACTGCTTTGTGTGCCTTTGAATAGGAGATCATTTTGCTATAAAATATTGTGTGCTGCTTTGGAAACTTTCGATTTTCAAAGCTGGTTTCTAATTCTCTGAAGACTACTCTCTTGAGAATCTCAATACAGTGAACTAGTTATGAAATTCTTTGCATTCAGTGTTTTTTCTGGGAGTGCTGATAACAGGTTTGTGACATCAGTTGTGTATTTCAATTGATGTGATTGTCATGTAGATTCCGAAAATGTAGGCAAACTCATAATATCCTTAGAGATGAACCCAAGTATTCTCTATTTATATTTTATTTATACAAAATGTTTATGCTGCCATATGCCTTATAGGTTTATAGTACAACAACGGCAATCTACAATTTATCAAATGATCCAATAATAACCAGATAATCAGATTTAAAAATTCCAAAGACAAATATTTATACTGATTTAATTAGAGAAAGGTCAACAATTATATTTTTTAGTGACTGGAAAACCATTATGGGCTTGTTGCTGGAAAAAAAACTAACTTGTGATTTATGGGTTTGACAATTAGAAAGAGTAGTTTATGGAAAGAAGGAGACTGTGATGTAACCCTAGAGAGGAATGGTAAAATATAAAATGCATTTATAACCGCTGATAATAGGAAGCCATTTCCTTACAATTGTTTCTATTTTTTCTTTTTCTCCTCTATTTTTTCTCTTCTTTCTCTTTTTTTTCTTACTGTGTACTACATTTTTCTATTTACTTTCAATATCCATATTTTTTTATTTTTTTAAATGTCTTTAATAAACATAATAAGACAGCTTATCATCACCATTAGTGTGCATAATCATGCCGATTAAAAAAAAAGTCTTAAGTGCCTTCTTAAAGTCCACGGTTTCAGAGTACCATATACCCTAGGAACCAAGCAGGAGTCTCCAACCTTTTCAGTTTGTCAATCTCTTAAAAAGTTTCAAATTGTTCATTAATTCTGAAACATTTATGAAAATGGATATTACAAATAAGAAATACAGTACTATAAATAAGAACAGCAGCAATGGAGCTTTGTGGGTTGATACTGACCACTTTGAGGAATCCTGCTCCAAAGCATGAAAGAAGCCACAGAGAAAGAATGTACTTAGAACTGGGGAATTATTAATGTCTGGATATTATTTTGTGTTTCTGTTGGCTTTTCCTTTCAAGAGTTACCTTACTAAACTTAAAAATGGCATATCTCTGCTATGATTTTTCTTATTGACCCTAGCCTGCAATATATAACATTTGCAATGCACTGGTTTCAAAAGTAATTTTATTAAAAGTTACAATTACAAAGTTAAAAACTAATACAAGCTAAAAAACTGAAAGAATAAAGAGAAAAAAAAACAAAGTGCAAAAAATAGAATGAAAAAAAAAAAGAATACAGTAAAAAAAATGACTTCCCCCTTCATTTAACAATATAAACAATTATAGGAACTGTTCATCTTCTCTTAAATAATCTCTTCTACCCACATTCCATCTCTTATCTATAAACTCATTGTTAAAGTTTAGCAGAGATAACAATTTATCAGTTTAAATCTTGATCAAATAAACCAACTTTACATTCCTTTCTTTTACTTTTAAGAATCTTGATCTTTAATCCCTGATTTCAATTTTCTCAATCACATTGTGGGTAGTAGCTAGTACTCATCTCTGAAATAAATACTCTTGTCAGTTTTAATTTGCATTCTCAAAGGAAGATCATTTGGGTAATTACTTAGTTTTTTGTTATTGTATATGAGTAGCTGACACAGGAGAAATTCATTTTATGCTGAAATAGAAAAGCAATGTCATAAAAATACAATAATACCCATGAGCATGCCATCTATATATCTTAAGAGTTACAAGATGCCTACAATTTTTGGTCCTCAACACAACAGTTGAAATAATACCAACTGTTTGGGTGTTTCTCTTTGTTTTATTATTGTCCATTTTTCAATTTGCCACAACAATAATATAGATGGGCAAATATTAGTCTGAAGCTTTCTCTGGATTCACCCCAAGATTTAGTTATATCCAGGAGTTCTGTTTGTTATCTCATTTTAGTGACTTCTTTCACCAAAATTTAACGTTAGCAAACCTAGTAAATGTAGTTTACAATTAGCAAACTCTTGCCAGGAAATCTTGAATGGGAAAACTCTAGCTTTTGCTGCAGATAGACAGGGTGAAATCTGCAGTGTTTTAGAATGCTAGAACGCTGAAGATAATGGGCATTATTGTCCAATGCAGACTGAAGGAATCGTATTAGGAAAGGTGACTCTTGATTTGAAAACTTATCTTGCCTGTTGGTTCCATCAATAATATCATTAAAGATGTAGCTTAAAGATTAAAGGTAGAAAGATGGAGCTGATCTTGCAGATTCAACTTACGTTGTTCGGCCTATGGGATGTGCCTATTTATTTTGATTTTCCTCTCTCCATTAGTCTCATCCCTATCAGTCTATTTTTGGTTCAGAAAAGAAAGGAAAGGTATTTGGTAAGGTGTGCTACCAATTTTTCCTGAAATGTATTATTTTCATTGTTTTGTTTTTTAGGCTGGTGCCAGTAAGTGCCCATGCAGCATTTGACAAGGCTGCCCATTATTTCAGGATTAAGATTGTGCGTATTTCGTTGACCGAATCGATGCAGGTGGATGTGAAGGTACCCCTGGCATTTCCAGATGTTTCCAATACACTGAGTTGAACAGAGTGATGGAACCTTTGAGAGAGGCGGGTGGGTGGCAGGAAGTAAATTAATACAAGGAATTCTTCAGATGACTCAGTTTTAATCCCTTGATTTGTACACAAGTATTATTGATTCCTAATGACTTTGTCCTGATTTTTTAGGCAATGAAGAAAGCCATTACCAAGAATACAGCCATGTTGGTCTGTTCAGCCCCACAATTTCCTCATGGAAGTATTGACCCCATTGAAGAAGTAGCAAAGGTAATACTTTTGCATTGATACAAAGCTGCTGCAATTGCGACCACAACTCAGCCCAAATTGTTAAGTGAGTTTGCACCCCATTTTACAACCTTTTTTTGTCACAGCTGTTAAGTAAATCACTGCAGCTGTTAAGTGAATCATATGGCGGTTAACCGATTCTGGCTTCCCCCATTGACTTTGTTTGTCAGAAACCAGTTGGGAAGGTATAAATGGTAACGGCATGATCCTGGGACAATCCAACGGTCATAAATACATGCCACTTGACAAGTGCCCAAATTTTGATCACGTGACCATAGGGATGCTGCAACAATCTCAACTGCGAAAACTGGTCATAACTCACTTTTTTCAGTGTTGTTGTAATTTCAGACGGTCGCTCAAGAAATGGCTGTATTCTTGCCAGGTAGTTGGCATCACTGTTTCATGGCTGTTGTGCCCTGCCATGTTAATTTTGCTATGGCTTGGGGTTTTACTGTTCATTTCCAAAAATGTCCCCCTGCTATAGGGCAGCATCTAAATCACTGAATGGATACCCATCTTGAAGAGATAAAATACCAATTCTGGCTATCTTTGCATCACTGTAATTGTATATGAGAACGTATTACTTCTAAAAAGGTTTGGATGTAGGATGTATATGTTGGTGAACCATTTTTGCCTTATTTGGATTTATGATCTGTTAATGAAAGGGACCCCATCAATTATTTGAGTTTGGATTCCAGATGTATCCAGGAATCAGACTGAACTTTAGAAGAAAGACCATAACTTAGTGATAACTACACACATGTACAAAATTCCATCTGAAATGTTTGCTAGTTCAGGACAGATTTTTCCAAAGATATCATGGTAACTACTGCCAAGGGTCTAGATCAGCTTCACATTGCATCCTGTATTCCATATGGTTAATATGGTTAATCAGCTAATCAATAAAGTTATACTATAATGTATTCCATATACTGGACATTCAGTTGAAGTAGCAATAATCCAGATTTTGTCACTGAAAATAACCATGAAAAAATTAGGTATGAGAGAAGTGTTTTTTTCCCCCCCTCAAATTTACAGGAATGGTCTGTTAATGTAGATCTGCTGGTAAATGATTTTATTCACAGGAAGAAATATTTCACTTCAATAATTTCCAGCAGGAAGAGCTGTTAGCCATTGCCAAAAGCCAGAGCCATGGTAATTCACAATTTAAGGTGATGGCATTGAACAGTTTTTCTAGATAATACCTGAACTTTCCTAAATACAGGTAATCCTTTGACTTACTATCATTCATTTAGTGACCATTCCAAGTTAGAATGGCAGTGAAAAAAGTGAGCGATGACCGTTTTTCACACTTACGAACATTGTGGTCATGTGATCAAAATTTCAGACGTTTGGCAACTGGCATGTATTTATGACGGTTGCAGTGTCCCGGGCTTGTGTGATCATCTTTCGCGACCTTCTGACAAGCAAAGTCAGTGGGGAAGCCAGATTCACTTAACAGCCATGTTACTATTTTAACAGCTGTGGCAAGAAAAGGGGTTAAATGGGGCAAAACTCACTTAATTGTCTCGCTTAGCAACAAATTTTGGGCTCAGTTGTGGTCGAAAGCCAAGAACTATTTGTAAAGAATATGTTTATCAGTCTCCAAGCTCTACTAGTATTTCACTTTTGCGACCTAAGAAGAAAATGATCTAAGTTCTTTTCCTGTCTTGATGCAGCTTGCACTGAAATACGATGTTCCCTTACATGTGGATGCCTGCCTGGGAGGTTTTCTCATTGTCTTCATGGAGAAGGCTGGGTATCCTTTACAGCAGCATTTTGATTTCCGAGTGAAAGGAGTCACGAGCATTTCTGCAGATACGCATAAGGTGTGTCAAGGAAGACTTGTATGAGCTTCTGATGGGAGTTGCTTTGAAACTGCGCTAAGCTGGATCAGGCATATTTCCTCTAGATCAGGGGTAGTCAACCTTGGCTCTTTTATGACTCGTGGACTTCAATTCCCAGAATTCCTGAGCCAGCACAGCTGGCTCAGGAATTCTGGGAGTTGAAGTCCACGAGTCATAAAAGAGCCAAGGTTGACTACCCCTGCTCTAGATTGTTTCCAAAGCAGTATCATTTTTAAAAATCATTTCTTCATTTGATTTATATAGGCCCCCATCTCATTTGTATGTGACTCTAGGGAGAATATCTATGGAAGATTCTCGATCATCCAGGCCATTGTTGTCCCAAAGGTGCATTTTCCAAAGGCAACTGGACTTTCTTGTTTGTTTGTTTTTCTTTTGATAATATTTTGTTTCTCTTCAAGAAGCTTCTTCGGTTAGAATTTTTAGTTAGAACTGAAGAAGCATCTTGGATGAGAAGTGAAATGTTTTCAAACAAAAAAAAAACCCAAGAAAGTTCAGCTGCCTTTTGGAAAAAGCACCTTTGGGCGACTGCAGGCAGCTTAAACAATAAAATAAATGAAATACACAACAAAAAAAACAGAGAATAAATATATCATTGCAGTTTGTATAAAACTGGAACCCTAAACCAAAGTACATCAGTGAGAACGATTCCTGTTGAAACATCAAATACTAGTTTGCTATTGAGTATCTAGGATTGTTCCACCTTTGGAACAAAGTACCATTTGTTTTCATGACTTTACTCTTCCAAAGAGGAATTATTTGGAAAAATTCTGAATACCTCTTAATTAAAAAAGCAGTGGCAAGACTTCCCCAACAGTGGTAACAGCACATCTCTATTTGGTAAATCGATAGAGAATGATTAACTTAGCAAATCTTCTAATTCCTGTAAAAGGGGTCTTGAATCTGTTAACGTTGATTTTTGTGGGTGATTATTTGCAACTTGAATATTGTCCCACTCTTTGCAGTATGGCTATGCTCCAAAGGGCTCCTCTGTGATACTGTACAGTGATAAGAAATACCGGCATCACCAATTCTTCATTGCTCCTGATTGGCAAGGAGGAATTTACCCCTCGCCCACTATTGCTGGTTCCAGACCTGGATGCCTTATTGCAGCTTGCTGGGCTACCATGGTGTACTTAGGGGAACAAGGTTATGTGGAAGCCACCAAGAAGATCATCTCAACTACACGGTTTATCGTATCTGAGTATGTATATGATTTCCATTTATTCTCTATATTTTATGCTGCTCTTCCTTCTTTCTGGGTGCCCATTTCAGCATTCTTCAGCATTCTACAGTTTGTACTTTTGCAAGCATTAAATAGGAGCGGGTTCTTAGTTATCATCCATATATGATACTCTCACGCAGTGGTGGGTCACACAAAGCAATTAGTATATTAAGATGATGTGCATGGATAGAAATTATGCAAGGCAAACAGTAATATTAAGCTACTGGATTTTTGGGGGGGGGGGAGAGGAAATAGTGCTGAAAAACCAGCCCTTTTTTGACCACGGAAAAAGATGACTCTTTACATGGCTCTCTGTTGGTGGATAGCAGAGAGAAGAGGCCGTATTGACTGAAATAATAGAAATTAGATATGTGCAGTTCGGAAGACTTTCATGCTTCCTCCTTCTTTTTTCAAGACATCTTTCTTACTCAGAAGGAAGATGAGATTTGGAATATCTCTCAACAAAGCTCCATGAAATAATACTTTAATTAAAAGTGGAATTTCTTTTTAATCAAATATCAACTAATGAATGATGTCTGCTAGGGGATTATATGGTACATTTGGACAGGACTGGCCAGTATGGTGGCTCAGCAGTTAAGATGCTGGGCTTGTCGGCTTGGAAAGCTGACAGCCCAGGTTTGAGACCCAAGTGCCACAAGATGGGGTGAGCTCCCATTCTCGCTCCAGCCTAGCAATTCGAAATCATGCAAATGCAATTATATAAATAGCTACCGCTTTGGCGTTCCGTGACATCACTTCCACCACAAGTCCGCAGAAACATCTTTGAACAGTGCTAGCTCAATGGCCTCGTAGAGATGAGCATCACCCCCTATTATTACCAAAGACTACAGGAGTAAAATCCGCAGGGACTCCTTTACCTTTACTTGGACAGGACTACACACACTGTGAGACTAATATTGTGGTATTCACTTTCGGTTGTGTAATCAGATAACTCTATCTTAATAGATAAGAGCCAACATTTTTAGGGAAGGGTCACTGCCATCACCCTAGATTGGCATCACTACAAATGTCACATAAAGCAATATTTGATGAACCCCTTAATAAACTTTCTACAGAGATTCATCTTCTGTTGGAAATAAAATTGCCCTCATCTTTAGATGTCACTGTTATTTCAGAAAAGTGCAAATATCTATTGAGATTTTGTCTGGTCATATTTTTTAGAGACTTCACGGAGATCTGTGGCCTTCCAGATACATTTGGTAATTAAAATTACCAAATTGCAGCAGCCCCAGTTAGCATAGCCAATAAGGAAGGATGTTAGGTGTTTGTAGTTCAGGAAACATCTGAAGGTTCGTGCTGGGTATCTTTTGGATAAACAACTTTCAGGTCGAGTTTTACACAAAGAATGCATAACCTCTTGTGTTTCTTGGGATTCTGAGCATTTTGAATTGCAATTAACATCCTGTTCCTCAAGGCTTATTTGGATAGGATTAAGAAATACTGCTTTGTGATTCTCGGTGTTCTTTCTTTGTATATATTCAGAAGATGTAGCTAGGAACCTGCTGCTATGCTATGGGATGGGTACTCTGAGTTCCATTTCTTTTTCCCTCTATGCGGTTTTTAACATATCTGGATCAATTATCCACATATTCCCTTTTTTCTGATATAATCGAAATGGGTTTAGAAGCACTTTTGCCATGGAAGTTAAGTAAAAAAAAAGGAAGAAAAACTTCTGAACTGCTTAAAACCAGAGAAGGGAATTCGTGACTTGGAGAAGACAATTGGATCTCAGATTAAATTATGAGATCACATTCTGCACTCAGATGTGGCCACTGCAATTAATTGTGATCTCTTTTGTTGAAAACTCCTCATTTAAAGTCAAGTTGTTTTATAAAGTAATATTTCATGTTGCTTTGGACAATGTATTGTTTCCCTGTTCTGTGGATACATACCAGAACACAGGTTTAGGCACATATTGTGTGTGGAAACAAAAGTCTTCATCCTGGTTCATCCAAACAGGGGACAAATAAGCAACATGGCGACTGCTTTAGAAAGAAGGTTGCAGTTTATTGAAGAGCCAGACAGATGGTTCTTGCAGGAAAGACTAGAGAAAAGAAGGGTAGTAGGTTTTTATACCCTCTCTAGCCTTTTGTTTGGAATAGTTTCCTGTTCCTGTGGCATGAACTTTGAGGATATTTCCTGTGTCACGTATTCTGACCTGAGTTTAGGTGTGCCTCTCTGGCCTTTGTGAGTTAATCCTATCATGTCCTGTCTCAGGTGGGGTATGCAGATTTTAGGTCTCTTTGTCTTCTTGATCTCCTAGCTGGGGCCTTTCTGATGGTTTACATTTGCATTTGTATAGAGCTGGCTTCTGCTTGGGACAGAGACTTGGTGGCAGGGTTGGTTTCTGCTTTTTAAAATACTTTTGAGGAAATATATTTTTTCTGCCCTTTTAATATTTCCTTCTCTGGGGAGCTGACTTCCCACATGTGTAAAGAAAGAAAGAAAATAACAACAACAACAACAACAACAACAATAATAAAACAACCACTTTATCCTCAACCCCGCAATTCTCTCTGTTTAGAATAACTGATTCCTGGATTAAAAAGAGACACGGGCTAAAATTACAACTTTTGATAATGGCTTTTAAGCAACATAAATTACAGCATTAAATGTAACTAGAGGACCATAGACTAGATGGAACACATTTTTAACATGTTTCTCTTTAAGGTTGCAGAAAATTGAGCACATCAGTATCATGGGCAAACCAGAGGTTTCTGTCTTTGCTTTCAAGTCTGATTCATTTGACATTTACCGATTGTCAACCCTGTTAATAGCCAAAGGATGGAATCTTAATATTTTACAGTACCCTCGAAGGTGAGTTTCTGGTATTTTTTTTCTCCATCACTTTCAGGTGGGGAAGGCAGAAGCACTGGTCAAGCACCTAAAATTCTCTCTTGGATTGAGCAGATTCATGGCGGATTTAGACCACTTGTCCCCCAGTGGCCAATCATAAGTCTATGGAAACCCACAAGGAGGAGTTCAAGATAAAACTTCCATATTTTGTTGCATTTCAGTAGCTGGAATTCAGTGATAAATTGCTTCTGATCTCGAGCTCATACACATCTGTCAAACATATATATCTTCAAGAGCCGTAATCTGCCATAATCTGTCTTAATTTTTTATAATATATATATCCATAAAAAGTATTTTTTAATATACTTTCAAGAGATTATGCTTATTCCAAGATATTTGGAGATGTTTTATATACAATTTGGGATTCCATTCTTTGGGATTTGGGATTCAGTTGTAGCCTAATTTCTTTTTTTCTGGAATGTGAATTCTATTAAAAAGTATGGTTTCAGGTCTACAAATCCAAAGATCACACCACATGTTCACTCAGTATTTGTGTAAGTTGCTAACTAAGTTGATTGATACTATCTTATTAGCACTAGAATATACAATTTCTCAAATTTTCTTTCAAATGAGGGAATAGAAGGGGAACTCAGAAAATTTGCAGACAACACCAAGGTGGCAGGAGTAGCCAACACCCCAGAAGATAGACTCAAGATCCAGATTTCAACAAACCTGAACACTGGGCCCTATCTAACAAAATGAAATTCAATGATGAAAAAAATCAGGTTCTACATTTAGGCAGGAAAAACCAAATGCAATAGTATAGTTGGTACCTGGCTCAGTAGTAGTTACTGTGAGAGGGATCTTGGATTACTAGTGGACAATCTCTTAAATATGAGCTAGCAATGTGCTGCAGCCATCAAAAAAAGCCAATGCAATCCTAGGCTGTATTAACAGAGGGTTAGAATCAAGATTGTGTGAAGTGTTAGTACAGTTTTATAAAATTTTGGTAAGACCACACTTGGAATCCTTCATCCAGTTTTTGTCACCACAATATAAAAAAGATGTTGAGACTCTGGAATAGTGTAGAGAAGAGCAACAAAGATGATTAGGCAGCTGGAGGCTAAAAGATATGAAGAATGGTTGCAGTAATTGGGTACGTGTACTCTATTGAAAAGAAGGACTAGGGGCAACATGATAGCAGTATAGGGGTCAGCCTATTTTCCAAAACATCAGAAGGCAAGACAAAAAACAATGGATGGAAACTAATCAAGGAGAGAAGTAACCTAGAACTAAGGAGACATTTCCTGATAGTGAGAACAATAAACCAGTGGAATGGCTTTCCTTCACAAGCTGTGGATGCTCCATCACTGGAGGTTTTAAAAAGAGATTGGACAACCATTTGTCAGAAATGATAGGATCTCCTGCTTGAGCAGGAGTTTGGACTAGAAGACCCCAAAGGTCCTTTCCAACTCTTATTCTGTTCTGTTATTCTGTTAAATTTGACTTTCATGATTCAAGAATAAAATCACAATCTCATTTTCTATCTTGTGGGAGCAGTGATAATTACAAAGAGGTAAAAGGATATATATATATATTTCCACACTCAGGCAAAAGATTTGCTTCATATTTTTAGATTTTATTTTTCGCAGCTCTTAAAAAATTAGCCTTTGCCCCTCTCCAAAGAAAATTCCTAGTTCTGGCCATTTTTTAAGATCTAAAATTAGGAAGTTAAGATTAGAAAATAACTTTTTAGAAGAAGCCCTGTCATAAATAGCTTTTGTACTCTTCTCAATTATTTGAAAGTATATATAAATACCTCAGTTCAGCCAAAATAATTACTAATCTGTTAGTTAATACTTTACATTCTAGGTCTTTCTTTGCATCATCAAAATTAGATTAGATTACTTTTTAAATTATTTTAAGTTTGCAGTTCTAACCTGTCATAATTTCATCTGTGCAAGGTTATTTTAAGCATGATTACTGTTATTAGCAAAAAAGAAGAAAACATGACATTTTCTCAACCACCCCACGCAAACCAAGACACAAGCCAACCTTGAACACATTTTGTCTTCAACAACTATCTGATTGATTGGAGTAAATGAACTCCAATCATACCTAAAACAAAACCATAGTTTGCACTCAAAATCTCCCTGGAGGAAAGAACTGGAAAAGCCACTTGGCTTTTTCATCATTTTCCTCCAATTTTATTTAATTGCTAATACATAAGTAATGAATGTTTGCTAAATTGCCAAATAGTTAAAAAACTAGCTGATGTTTTGGAGAATATAATAGTTGGGGAAATGGGAGCCGAGATGTTTCTTTTGAACCTTAAATTTGAAATGTCTGCATCTTCTTAATTATGAAGAATATGAGACTTTGTGCAGATTTGGTGTTTGATGACACAAAATGGTGCAAAAGTGTGGTGTGACTTTGGGGGGTAATAGGACTGTGTTAGTCTTGGAGGATGTCATTGATCCCCTAATCATGTCATTTACACATTTTTGGAATGATCCAAAACAGAGGCATGAAATAATATAAAACTTTAATGCCGCTGTTAGATGAATATAGCAGTGTAGGTTTTAGGGGTTTCCTCCAAAATCCAGTTTGAAATGTCGGCAGCCCTACTTGTAGAAGTTCAAAAATTGGTAACAAAAAAGGTAGTCCTCAAGTTATAACCATAATAGAACCTGCTGTAGGTAAACCTGATTTTTACAACCTTTTTAGCACTGGTCGTTAAGTAAACATTGCACTTATTAAATGAACATTGCAGTCATTAAAAGCACTCATTGTTTGCTATGGAACAGTTCTGAGAACTAGAAGTGTCAATTTTTGGCAAAACTGTTGCAAAGCACAGTCACATGACCACGAGATGCTACAAAGAGCCATAAATGCAGCCATTTTGCTCAGTGCCTGAAGTTTGGGCACATGACTGTTGGAACATTGGAACTTTAAATCTGGGTCATAAGTTGCTCAAAAGTAGGCCTGTTGAACTTTGAAGGTTCTCTTAAACTAGAGTTCCCCAACGTTTCTAGCTTCGTGGACCTGGGGGAGTGGGAGGGGATGGTTCACTTGAGTGACCGGCAAACACTCGGGGGCCAGGTCCATTTGCACAAGTGGTGTGCATGCGCACCTGCCGCTCATGCAAATGGAGTGCTTGCTGCACAAGGAAGGGTGCGCATGCTTGTTGGCCGTTTTCATGGCCCAGTTGGAAACCCCTTATGGCCCATTAGTGGGCCGCAGGTTGGGGACCCCTGTCTTAAGCAACCTGTCATAAGTTGAGGACTATCTTTATATTGAACTCTCGGTGGCAGACTAATTTCAGTTTAATTTCAAAGCCAGTTCATTTTCAAAGGTATTGAAAGAGAATTGGCTTTAGATATTATTTCAAGAGAGAATATTATTATTAAGAAGTTCTTGTGAATGGTGTATTATGACACCTGTTGAGAATAGCCAAGAGATATTTATGAATGGCTTGTGTTCAATTGTATAGTCATCTCCAGCAGTCTGCAGCTTCTCTCTGACTTCCCCTAATTCAGTGAAAACTTAACAAAAGATACAAAGAATTCGGGTATTGTGCTTTTTTAACAACACTGCTGTGAGTTTACCACTTATTCTTAAGAAATCGTTGACAAGAAATTGTATCTCCTCCCACTTTGCCTATAAATTTGTTGGAAAATTATGAAATTTCCTTTGTACCCAACTGTGGCTAAGACATTCAGATTATATGAAGTAAAGAAAGGCTTTCCAGAAAGCTGAAATTATAGTATAATCATATAATAGGCCAATGATGTTTTTATTTAAAATCTACACAGGGCCTCTGTGTAATTTGCATAATAAATGCAGAAAAAATTACTCTCTACAAAACGTACTGACTTTATTACAATACAGGAAAGAAATATGGTAAGCAATAACTTAGTGGGTGATCAGATGTTGAAAAAATAGGAAACCAGCACCGTCAGTCTATTTGTAATAGGGATGTGATATGTAGCTACTGAATTAACATGATTTCTCATGAATTTTCCAGTTCTAGATAAGAGTATGATCAGGAAACAAAAGGTTCTGATTGTGAAGAAAAGTTAACACTTTATCTTTCTCCATCTCTTTCCAAGCATTCATTTTTGCTTAACACTGCTACAAACAGAACCTGGGGTGGCTGAACAAATGGTGGAGGATGTCAAAGAGTGTGTCTCTGAGATCATGAAGAATCCAAAGGAAAAGATCACTGGCTTGGTAAAAGCAAATTTTGCATTTTTTTTTTGAAGATTGCTGTTATGGAAACATAGAGAGAGACAAGACAGTGGCGCTTAACAGCTGGTAGAAAGCAAATCAGAGAATAGAACTTAAATCTGGTTGGGACTATAGCCTGACAATCCAAATTGGAAGTTTGGGGACATTTCTAAGTTTACACCCAAGATCCTGTAATACTTATATTTCAGCCATTGGCCAAGTATTTTTATTTAGTTGAGGCTGGTGAGCCTATTAGGTTCACTCAAAGAGATGTCAGGTTAAACTGTAATTCATACATTTCTTAATTCCATCTTAATTAATTAGTTTACTAATTAATTGCACTGCATTTACTTTGGCTTATTGTTGAATATGTCCAGTGAGTATTAGGCCGTTGACCAGGACTAGTTAGGAAGCATAATATTTCTTAGCTTAGCATAGTTACTTGCTCTGCCCTTCTCTTCCAGGCACAAATCATGGAATTGATTAAAGCAGGGGTGTCAAACTCGCAACATCATGTGATGTGTCGCGACGTATTGCAACTTTTTCTCCATTGCCAGAGCTGGGGCGGGCACGGTTTCGGCATGACGCATCCGGCCTGCGGGCCGGCAGTTTGACACCCCTGGATTAAAGAAATAAATTATTTGAAAATAAACTAGTTGGGCAACTTCCTTCTCTAGCATTAGTTTAGGTTAGTGTGGAGGTCTTTCAAAGAGATCTTCTCTGGATGTACTACCACCTGGTGTGTACTGGATGGAAATTCAGTGAAGGGCTTTTTTCAGATTCTGTGTATAAGGATTTTACTTGTCATGTTCTGTTTTTATGTTTCAGCTTTCTTTAGAATTTCTGTAGGTGGTCTGCCTTTACTGCACAACCTTTTATACCTAGGCATTTGATAACTAAGATAATCTGCTCTATTTTAAAGTCCCCCCCCAATTTTTAAATGGGCTTTCATTTTAATCTGCTCCTGATTTTTATATGGCTTGCGGGCTTGTGATTGCTTATTTCATAAGCACTGGATTTTATCGTAAGTTACTTCCGGCATTATTAATGCAAATACAAGTAACACGTTTCAGAGGTAATGCATGGAATAAATCTTAGCTGATCATTGTGTTTTGTTTTGTTTCAATTTGTAGAGTGCAATCTATGGCATGGCACAAGTCATTCCTGACAGAAACCTAGTTTCAGAAATTGCTGGTGGTTATTTGGACAGCCTCTACAGCACAGATCCTTGGACTGATACGCACATGAATGGTTCTCCAAACTGATTTGTAGTCATATATCTCAACTGTTGGATGATGACACACTAAACAATTCAAAGGAAAGGTAATATCACTTGGAAGTGTTTCTTCTGCAGATACAGCTCACAAGGCAGCTTGATCTGTTGACATAACATTCCCTCTTAGATTAAACACAGGTTCGACCCCTAGCTTAGATTGGCTGTTCAGATCTGTGGAACTTCAGGAATACTCTCTCTCTGTCTCTCTCTCTCTCTTTAACCTGTGATAATTATTTGTATTTCTTACGATGACTCACTGCTGCTTCTAGTCGTCCAAGAAACAGCAGGCTTAAGGGCAATATAAGTCTGTTCCATCATTGTTCACGCTCAGGTGTTTTGAATTACTTTAGTGGATACAGTTCTCTTGGTTGATGTTCACACTGAGCGGTGAATTTGACAAAAGGTTGCACATAAACATCCTTCACAGATGATCGGATAAAGTCAGGGTGAATGTTTAGTTCACTCTGTGGGAATTTGCTCTGAATGAGAGGAAATGATCAGAGGAAAAAAGGGACACTTCCTTCTTTCCATGTACCTTCTGCTTTTCTCTTTCCCTAGAAATTTTTTTTACTGTGAAATTCTTCCTCCCCCCCCCCCAAGTATTTGAGCCATGGGGATCCATGAAGGTACTAAGGTTTCTGTGTTACTACAATAGGAGAAAGCAGATTGTATTTTTCAGAATCACTGAGAAGTTCAGCTTCTTCAACTGTTCCAGTTCCTAGTTCTGCCATTTTGTTAAGCGCCTTTATGGACTCAGAATGTAATTATTTGTAGGACCCAGAGCTCCTTTTCAAGTGTTGCACTGAATTATCAGACACATTCTCAAGAGAGCACACATAGATTTGCCTTAAATGCTGAGAGCATCTCCACTCAGAAGCCAAGCAGATGATCAAATCAACAGATGATCACCTCCTTTATGGTACTATACTGAAAATAACCTCAACCTCAGGTATCATATACTCATCTTCAGTGTTTCATGACATCTCAGCTCAGTCCACCTGTAGATAGCACTTTGCAACTGTGATAAGGATACCTGTGGTCTAGAAGCTTGACCTCTAATGGATTAGAGATATTATTTCTTTCCCATTGTTTAGTTTGCTTCTAGAAATAACTGTGGCTCCAGTGGGCCATTCATGGGCCAAATGGCAGGCACATTAACTTCTTATTCTAAGGCTTGAGGTGTAAAGCTAGGTTCACCAGCCTAGTTTTACAGAGGTGAATGGAGAACAGTTCCATTCAGTCTTAAACTTTCTATATAGATTAGTTTGCTAGATCAGTCACGGTCTCTTTACTTTTTGTCAGCAGTAGTTCACCGAGAAAAAAACATAGAATCAAGTCATTTAGTGGTATAGATTCATATTCCTTTCAGTTATTATTGTACAATCCTTTGTAACTTCATGAATTCAGGGTCTATGTTATGTGAATCTTTGGATTAATCATTTATCTCTTCCTGGTCATCTTTCTATTTCAGTTTTGAATGGAGTGAATACAAAATAACTTAATGGTTAATTTCCTGATGTATGTGTATTGACTAGTTTGAACAGATACGGTTTCAAATACATTAAGAAAGGAAAACTCGATTGCATCCCTCGCACATATGTAATTTAATGAACTGTTTTCATTCATGTTCTAGAACAGAACGTTAAATTTTGTAAGATCTTAATTTCAGTTTAATACTGATACATGTTCAAAACTGCTTTGTTTCAATACTTAACCCATGTATACTTTCTCATGCATCTTGTACATGTTTTTGGGTTTAAAATAAATGTTATTTTCTTCCTCAACCTCCAAGTTTAAAACAATTGGAAGGTAGCTTTTTCCTGTCTAAGAGTTTATTGGAAAGCCAACCTCATCGGTCAAGGTTTCATTCACCACCAAGATGATTACGACCTCCATTTCTGAAATTTCTTGCAAGCTAGGGGGCACCGAGATAGTAAAAAAAAAAAAATCAAGGTGGCAATAAAATAACTTATTAAAGTTCTTTTATTGTGGCAATTTTAGTTCCCTTTACTTACAACTCTCAAGAACTTTTGGAGTAATTTCAAATAATGATGAAATCCATTATTGTACAAGGATGATGAATGTAAAAAGGGGGCATGGCAGAGACACAGCTGCCATCTTGAATTCTTTCAAGCCCACCATACCAAATGGATGAGCCTGTCACATGCTATCAGATATGTTTACAAATGAAAATCTACTTAACTTTCTTTAAAAAATGTTCACTGACAGAACATGTGAGAGATTTTAATTTCTTATCTTCTGCTGTACTAGCCTACGCTAAACGGTGTGGTTTTGCAATGCATGATGGGTAAAGCTATCCTAAGGAAGAAAAACAACCATGACTTGCAGTCTGTAGTATATAGGCTTCTACACCACCAATCCAAAGTTGTGTCTACCTTGGTTTAAAAGAAGATTAACCAATTCCAGCATTTCCCTGTCTATCCCTTTCATGAAGTCAAGCAATACAAGAAACAGTGCTGAAGAGAAATGCACAGGGAAACAATTTCCAATTCATTGTGTAAGAGTAGGCTTTATTAAAACTGACAACCACAAGCAGCTTCTCCTGCACCTACTTAATACTGCTAAACAGGGTTACAGACTAAAGAACCCTAGAGACAGATATTGACACAAGACAGATTTATAACGGATAACAAATGAATTCACAGCACTGGTGCCTATTGCAATGTGTGACCATACAGTAAGCAAGTATGAAGCTTCTACAAAAAGATGGGCTCTCCCATATTAACTGGATACAGAGGCTAGATTACATTTGTCATGATGCTTTCTGACAAGTTAAGATGCAGAAGCTACCTTTACAGACAAAGATGGGGTGAGCACTTTAGGCTAGTGAGTTTGCTACTTGCTCTATGAAACTGGCCAAGTTGATGTCCCGTTCAGATAAGCCAGCACACTCGTGTGTGCTTAAGGTTATATGAACCTGAAAGAAACAAAATGCCTAATTAGTACAGCAGTTATGAGAATGCATAGCAGCATAGCTGCAAGTACTTGAAAGAGCTAAAATATCAATTTATTAATGATAAATGTTTTTTGTATCTTCATTCACTGCTGGCCTCAGTGCTTATCAGTGAAATTTAAAACAGTCCCATCAGGATTAGGGAAGTCAAGTCACTTTGGTGCAGAAGAGGGCTTTTTTTTTTTTTAAAGAGTTACACTGCAGTTGCTAGATTGAGCCACTACTACAAACTCCTTCCATATCAACTGAGTGCCAATCTATAATTCACATCCCTCTCCTCCCCTTGCTGCATTTTAAGACTGGTAGTTGCTTCATCGTATTTATCATCATATCAGAATAAGCACTTCTGATAAGGCTTAAATAGCCCCCTCCCCCACCAATTTGCACAAATATAATCTCCGGTACAGGTCTGGATCGCTAGAAAGGTGCAAAACTATGGATTTAATGGGTTTATGCTACAATGGACTTATGTAGTTAAAATAACTTTTATCTAAGCTTGAACAGAGAACCAGTTTGGGGGTGTGGTAAAAGATCAAGGCTAGAAGTTGGGAAGACCAGAACCAGTTGAGTGACTTTGAGCCAGTCATTCCCTTTCAGACCTAGGAATAAGGCAATGGAAAACTTCCAAACAACATTACCAAGAAAACTGCAAGAATCACTCAGGCAAAAAAAAAAAGGGTTTGAACAACTCCTTGTCTCTTACTTTGTTGTAAACATTAAACCATTCAGGATGATGATCCAGTTTTTCTGCTTGTAGAGCTACTCTGGTCATAAATCCAAAGGCCTGTTCAAAAGATGAAAGAGGGTTTTAGAAAAAGACAAGGACAGAAGGGAAACTCCACACAGACTCCACTACTAAGACATATAAGGTAGTTGTTAGTATTGCCACCACTGAAAGAAATGCAAATCACACAATTAAGGGTCTATCAGTATACCTCAGTGCACTCTCCGAGGACAGCATTTAGTTTCTCCTGTTTGTGCAAAAATGCAGAATGAGACAGACTGAAGGAAGTAAAGCTCCCAACTTAACTTGGCCATTGATGTGGGTGGCTGGAAGTTTAGTTCAATAATATCTGCAGGCCTACTAATGCAGGAATTGATACAGGTAGTCCTCAACTTTAGATCACTTATTCAGCAAGTTTGAAGTTCCAGCAGCACTGAATGGTGATTATGAGCAGTCCTTGGGTTCTGACGATCCCAGCATACCCTTGGTTCATACGATTGAGATCTGGATGCTTACACTTACGATCGGTTGCAGTCAGTGCTGGGATTCAGCCAGTTCGTACCACTTCGGCAGAACCGGTAGCTAATTTTTTGTTGCCCAGGCCCAGAATGGACTTCCGGAAATGACATCCACACAGAGAACCGGTTGTTCACATATTTGAATCCCACCACTGGTGGCAGTGCTCCGTGATGGCATGATTACCATTTGTGACCTGTCTTCCCCAGAAGTCAATTGTGCAAAATTAATACTCTTTCAAAAGGTTGCTAATTCTTAAATTAATGGAAGAAATTGTTTTTAAAAGTTAAAGCCCCTTAAGAATTTGAAGTAGCAGTATCATATTGCTTGGAACAGCCAATTTCATCTAGTGCAGGGGTCTTCAAAACTGGCCCTTTTATGACTTGTGGACTTCAACTCCCAGAATTCCTCAGCCAGCATGCCTGGCTGAGGAATTCTGGGAGTTGAAGTCCACAAGTCATAAAAGGGCCAAGTTTAAAGACTCCTGATCTAGTGCTTAAGGTACCAGGCTAGAAACCAGGAATCTCTGAGTTCTTGTCCCGCCTTAGGCATCAAAGCCAGCTGGGTGACTTTGGGCCAGTCATTCTCATTCAGCCCAACCTACCTCCCAGGTTTGTTGTGGGGAAAATAGGAGGGGGAAGCAGTATTAAGTATGTTCATTGCCTTGAGTTACTTATTTAAAAAAAGATGTGATACAAAGAAATAAAATTTGTGGTGGTAATCCAGAAATGATCAAATCAGTGGTAAAGTTCTTTTTAATGAATGAGAAAGGTTTGTTGTGCTGGATTGAAATGTTTGTTTTTAATGTGCAGTTTTGTGGGGATCTGCTTGATTCAGGCTGAAATGTAAGTAGAATCTGTTGGCAGGAGTGAGGCTTCTTAGGATTGCCGTTGGAATGGGGAGGAGTTCAGTCCTTTTCTCCCCCTCTCCAAAGGAAAATTCATGCTATGCAGTTATTCCATCCAGTAGCAGAAACTCTCTAATGCAGGGGTAGGCAACCTTGGCTCTTTTATGACTCGTGGACTTCAACTCCCAGAATTCCTGAGCCAGCATGGCTCAGCTTGGAAACCTCTCCCTTTCCCCTCAGCATGGCTGGCTCAGGAATTCTGGGAGTTGAAGTCCACGAGTCATAAAAGAGCCAAGGTTGCCTACCCCTGCTCTAATGCATGCAAACAAGTAAGTGATGGGACTGCCGGACACCAGCAGATGTTTGAGTTGGCCTTTCCCTGACAAGCATGGCAGAAAAAAAGGCAATCCATGCATCTTTCTTGATGCTAATAATTGGTATCCTCTCCAACCTTTTGGGATGGAGTGGAAAAATAATTTTGGGTGGGACCTGAGGCTATTTCCATTTGAATCCAAGGAACGTTCAGACAGCAAAGGCAGTTGGATTTCAGGACCACTCTTTGCAGCTCCTGTCTCTACAAAGCTATTGTAGCACCAACAGGCAGAGCTATGCTCCCTTTCCTCTACCGCAGGAAAACCGAAGCAATCATGGTGTCCCACATAAAGAATGTCTATGGAGATTCTCAATCATCCAGGTCATGGCTGTCCCAAAGGTGTTCTGAAGAAGCTTCTTAGATGAGAAGTGAAACCTTTTTAAACAAAAAAAAACCCCCAAGGAAATCCAGTTGCCTTTTGAAAAAAGCACCTTTGGGACTACATGAAGAGGCACTAGCAAGTATTAACCCACGGACCCACTTACACATGTCAAGAGTTGCTACACTGCAGGGTTAGGAACCGAGTATCTTTGCAGCTCGTCGTGTCCTGGGATTTGCATTTTAGCTCAGCCTGCTGTTAATCAGTGTAGAGCTGCACATTTGGATATTGTTCCCAACTCAAGCATAAGCCTGACTTTCTTGAAATAAAACATTGATAAGTGCTTTTGTACCCGATTAAAGTCCTTAAAATGGAACTCCTTGTAGATAGCATCTCTGCCTTCCACTTCATTCCATCCTACTGCTCTGAGATTTGGCAGGAGCTGTTCTCTCTCTTCGCCACTCAGACGGTGGGCTTTTCCTGCCTAGGAGAAAATGGAGAAAGCATCTGGATAAACTTTCTCTGAGCATGAACAACACGTCTATGAAGAAGCTATTTTCAGATGAATCTAGAGCATCAGATCTAGACGATTTTAAAAAATTCTTAAGGAGTCAATCTCGTGAACAGCTACTTAGAGAAATGTAGAGCACTCCAAGCTTACAGCACTCCAACATTCCATGACTGGCTTGGGAAGACGACGGGAGGTGTAGTCCAACACATAGAGAAGGCACAAGTTGGGAAAAGCTATCCTGCACTGGCTGCACCAGTGCTGAACACATGCATGTTGCACATGACATCCTGGCCCAATTTTGCTGCATCCAACTCTTGTTCAAGGTATATGTAGGTTGTGGGAAAGCTCAGCAAATTAAAGTGGTGTGCTCCTTTGCTGACATGACCCAAACTGTTGAATTCCTATTTAGGTGGAATGCAGGTCCCCTTTTGCTTAGGTATCCATTTGCGTTATTATCCGTAACATTTATTATAAGCCAGAAAATAAGCAGTTTCTATTCTGGGAGAGAACAATATATCCAAGGAGGTTTGTGTCAGTACTAAAACCATCCCATAATGTACAGTTCTTATATTGGAATCAGTTATTATGTGCCAGACCACATTGTTGGGGATCTCTTAATGATATCAACACTGCCATTAATTTGATGGCAAATAT